TCCTATGATGCTGCTTGGCCTGCTGTGTTCATCCAGCCCCGCACCTTGTTGTCTTGGATAACGTAACAGAAGGATTACGTTTTCTGGGTGAATGAGATCGGTGTGGTGATACAGCGTTACACATTCTTATAAACCACATAGTTTTTCCAATCTCAGCACTTGTCTGACTAACATTAGGAATAATGGGGAAATGAGGTTGAATCAAATTAGCATCAATCCACTTCTGAAAGTGGAAGTCTATTTGTTGTGACACATTTGTTTTTATTTTTCCAACTAATACAACATAACCAGAGAAAATACTTCATAGCCTCTGCCAAAAATATGTAATTACTCATTTCATTGAACATAAAACAATGCAACTGCAGAAATTGAATTCAAATCCAAGTAGCCTTCAAATGGGAATTTTCATTAAGAAATCTACCTATCACAGTAGTAATGGAAGGAAAATGTATTGGTCAACCGTGGGGAATTTGTTTCAATAAAAAGTGTTACTTTAACTACACAATCAATAAATATCATAAGTGAAGTACAATTTATATGGATAATATTAATGGGGAATTGGTGTAAATTTTATTACCTCCAATTGAATTAATCCTCTTGCCACCATTTTGCCTTTATCTCTCTTCTACAATTCTAAGGCCTTGCAGCCCTTGATCATTGTGGTTAAACTGATTTTCTTTTTAAAAGAGCAATCCATCTTCTCAGAGGACAATGAAAGGCAGGTACCATCAGCTGGGCTCATCATTCAGAGGTGGAAACAGGGTACATTTTCCATTCATGTCTCAAGTCTACTGAGACGGAGTCACACACCTCTATTGTAGGTGAGACTTGAAGCCAGGTCTCCTGGTTCAGAGATAGGGACACTGCCACTGTACCACAGAAGCCCTCTCTAAGGCTGCTGATTTGAATATAGAAACCCATTGCAGCTTTACTTAAATCACACAACAGAGTTCAAATCTTGGAGCTCCTATCACACTAGTTTGTTCATTAACCCATTAAAGTACAGAGGATCTGAATTATTTTTAAGTTTAACATTGGTTTGTTTTTTTTTTCAAACTGCTTTGATCTTTCTTTCTAATATTTTTGTTTAAATGCTGAATACTGAAATCATATGAAGTCAGACCAGACATTATCCTATGGAATGGTGCAGCAAGATCCAAGGGCCAATCAATCCACTCATGTTCCTAAATCTTATGCTCCCACACGATAGTGGATGTGTTGACTACAGTATTCAGCCTGACAAGTGAACGAATTAATTAATCTACATACACTGCTTATTTATGATCTGTGTCTCTTCTTACGTTAATTTTCCTCCTTGCTTTTTGTCAGCTTCAGCAGCTCAAATGCACCAGTATGCCCAATTATACCACCAGCATTCACAAATTAAACATGACTCAATAGGAGGAGATGAGACACTTGAAAAGAATGCCAAAATAATGTAGAATGCTAACAAGAATCCTCACATGGCTGTTTTGTTAATGTACTGCATTGCATGTCATTTTCTGGTCAAGCTGTAATGGCCTAGTGGTGATGACAATCAGAATGTAATACTTTCTCAAAGTGCTATCACCTAGAAATACTCTACTTTAAAATTTAAACCTGTGGTTACGTTAATCTGACGTATTTCTTTCCTGAGCTCTGCTGATTTCAATCTGGACTTATAATGTTAGATATATTCTATTTTCCTTCAACAACATGAAATTGCAGAATAATGTAATGGATAACATGTCTTACCATCTATTGGCAAAGAGCAAAGGGATTCCATGCTTTTAGCAGGTCGAATGTTGCCCTTCTCTGTTTGAACACATATGAAAAAGAAAGGGGATATGAGAAAAAGTATGTTTAGAATAATAAAACTGGGGTGATAATCACAAGTATATGACCTAATAAAACTGTCCAGACATTATACTCAATGAAAAAAGCTTGTTCTTTTCTGTCAATACTGTATGAACCACAACCTAGAGTTGTAACCTTTTGCTACTGCTCAGGTGGTACACCTATGTCTCTGAACCAAATCGCTGCTGATTCATGTTCCACTCTAGAGACCTGAACATTGCAGATTAGCCAACACCCCAGCGCAGTACTGATGGGGTGCTACATTGTTAAAGCTCCTCCATTGTCAGAGATCCATCAATTGGGGGTCCAAGTCACTGCCAGCCCTTTCTAGTGGATGCAAAATAGCTGCTGGCACTGGTTGAAAATGAGCATGGTCAGTTCCCCACGAAAGTCTGGCTAATATTTATCAACTAACATCACTAACATGGTCATTCCTCTTACTGCTGTTTGTGGGACTCTGCAATGTGTAAACTGGCAGCAGCGTTTCCCTACATTCCAATTATAACTGTCCTTCAGATGGGAAGTATTGAAGCCGCTGTGAAATGCTTTCAGACTTTTTAAGGTCATGTAAGTGTATTTCTTTCTAAGCCTTTGTTATATCACATTGTGTATATGCTGTATTGGATTTTAATCATGTTTTGTGAAAACTTCAGATTCTTTTGGTTTCAGGAATGTTCTAGAATTGTGTACCAAATTGAATGATAATCAAATTCCAGCTGCATTGAAAAAAATGTGTGCCATTCTAAGGAAATGTCATAATATAGAGCATTTCTTGTGGCATTCTTAAAGTTCCATTAGTACCTTTTCATTTAGTCGCCTTGCTGCAATTGGATAGAGGCTTTGTCAATTTCAGGATATTTCAGCTCACAGTCAAACCTTGAAAGTGTTCTGTGTGAATACCAGGATCCCAAAGAATTTTAATAGAGCCGCCAATATGTCTGAAATAACTTGACTCAATATTTCATAAAACAATGGAGAAAGAATAGCCAGACAAGTTTCTTAAACATTCTTACACTGATGCTTGCTTTGTATGCTAATATTCACACTTATATTTGGAGGCCATTACAATAATAGATGCTGCATATATATGTACATACTTCTTTCGAAAATGTATATTTACATATAAGGAGGGCTTCATTTTTTCTCAGCCCATCACCACCCAGTTGCAAGGTGAAGTTGAGAATCAGGAGACCCTTAGGTAAGTGGAGGGTCTCCCTAAGAAACAAAAACAGAAATTGCTGGGAAAACTCAGCAGTTCTGGCAGCATCTCCAGCAGGGTCAATGCACCTGTTTTCTAGCATCCGCAGTTCTTTTGGCTTTTTTGTATAGGACTCCCTAAGAAAGCTGTCATTGGTGCTTGTTCCAGAGTCTCATGACTGGAGGAGAGTGTGTACGCCATTCCAGGGCAACTGTATGGTTAATGAGAATGGAGCTGTAAGTTTAGAAAACTTCTGATCTATCCGATATGATCCTGAAGACTTGGGGCTCTTTACATTGGAGATCAGAAAGCTAAGTGTTCCTTTCCTCTTAAACACATACAGACACACACACACACACACAATTAATGGAGTTCATCCAATTTTGAAACTACTATAAATAGCTTCTTGAGTTCAGTATATTCAGGCATTCCTGTGAGTGATCTGAATACATAATGCTTATGGGAAGTGACTTATACACCTTTATCTATATTTGCATTAGAGTGAGGTCCAGTGGTTCAAAGTAAAGCTCCTTAGTGATCTACGAGACCTTGACTTCAATCATTCTAAACATGAATCAAGGTAGATGAGATAAGGATTGGTTCAACTCATTAAGCAATTTTATTGCACTCACCTCAGTAAGAATATTTATCTTTGTGTGTGATGAAAAAATAATGAGCATTTGATAATTTGTGGTTCATTTAACTTTACTGAAATAGAATAACATCCCTCCTTCTTCATTCTAACATACTATTCAGTAACTGTACTCCTTGGTTTCTAAGTTTCTTTGTTTTTAAGTTTTGATCATGTTACCAGCGTTCTGTGAATATTGACTTCCCTCTCCTCATAATAAAAATGTCAAAGTACCACATTTTGGTATATATTCACACATACATTTTATGAAATTGTATAAAATAAACTCAAGAATTTATTGTCCTCATTCTTTGGTACAATTGTTCATAAAGCTCATATTTATCAAGATGATTGACTAGACTTATAGCAACTCTCACAAATGAAGATGTATACCACATGACATCAGATTAATCAATACTTTTTCTATACTGGTACCTCCATTCATACATCCAACTAAAATCACGAAAAAAATGACTAAAGTAGGCATTTGTGCAATCAATCTTATTTGTCTGCTACACCAACCCTCTCCAAGCCTATGGTCAAACAGTATTTTGTACATTGATAATGTCTTTGATTCCACTGCCTTACTCGAAGTTCTTGATTCATTTCTCTAGGTTCAATCTATCTCTGCCACTTAATACATCATTCAATGAGATCATACGTAAACCTTCTCTCAAGTGTATCTTTATTCATTCCCTTAACATTCGGAATTGCACTTCACCATCCCAAAGCAATGGGCTATTCCAGTACAGCTACTACACTGGTATCTATCTATCTGACAATGTTGAAAATTTCCCAGTTGTACTGTACACAAAAGGCAGGACAAATCCAACCTGGCTAATTACTGCCCCATCGGGCTACTTTCAATCATCAATCAAGTGATGGAAGGTGTCCTCAAGACACAATCTAACCATCATTTCTTGACATTCAATGGCATTATCACTGTTGAATCTCCCACTATCAACATCTTGATGGCTTATCATTTTACAATAACTGAACTGGACTAATCATATAAATACTGTGGCTACAGAAGCAGGTCAGAGGCAAGGAATCCTGTAACAAATAATTCACCTCTTCTGCTTCCCAAAGCCTGTCCGCCATGTACAAAGCATAAGTCAGGAGTGTTATGGAATTCTTGCCACTTGCATGGATGAGTTCAGATCAAGAAGCTTAACACCACCTTGGACAAAGCAGCTCACTTGATTTCATCACAACTTCTACAATTCACTCCATGCATTACCAATGTTCATAGCAGCAGTGGGTACCAACAACAAGAAATGCACTGACGTTACTTAGACACCATCTTTCAAACTTATGACCACTACTATCTAAAAGGTGTGCTTAAATTAATGTGCTTATTATTTTTACATCACCACCTCCCCCTGTGGATTTCTCTGCAATGCACATACCATCTTGATTTGAAATAGCTTGCTGTTCCATCAGAGTCACTGGATCATAATCCCGCAACTCCCTCCCAATCAGCACTGTGTGTACCTACACCAAATGGATTGTCGTGGTTCAAGAAGACAGCTCACCACAACCTTCTCAACTACAGACGGGCAATAAATGCCAGCAAAGCCAACTGATCTTATTTTCCCATTTTATACTGTTACCAAAAAGCAAATTGCTTTGAATGAGTCTACGGTCACTTTCTTTGTTTCTGTGCACTACATCTATTCTTTTCATTCTATATGTATGCTGTTTCCTGTCAGCATATAATGCCAGCATGTGAACAATAAATCTTCATTCTTATTTGTTGTGTTAATTTGAATAAAAGATCAGTTTTGTTCTATAAAGCCTGTAATCTCTGTGATTCCGTTGAAGCAAACGAAAGTGATAAATTGGAGTGGTTTTGGTGGTGTTGGTGCAAGAGGGGGTACTCTAGAGTTTGCAAGGGGTAGGCTAATCCGCTATTGTCTGTTTTACGTCATTTTCTCACCAAATGTTAAATATTTTGCTCATAATTTCCTTTTATTTTTGTATAAGTGTACAGTATTAGATTAAACCCAGGTCAATGGTGATCGGTACAGTTTTTGCCACCAGGTGTCAGTATTCTCCTTACCTGAAAATTGACGTCCTCTCACAAACACACTGCCATTTCTGCTTAGTTTACCCTTTGAATCATTTCCTGATCGTCCCAGGTTAAATATGGATTTCCATTTCTTTGTCTTTGCAGGAACTTTTCTCCTGGAGAAGAGACAGGCTCCTTACAGCTCAATCGCAAGCACAATAACATACCAAGTGGATATTACAGATTAAGACTTTGTGCTCAAAAATGCAATTTCAATTCAATGTTGAATTCCAGAATGCTTGAACAAGCCAAACCAGTCACAGAATCTAACTATGAGATACCAAGGTGTAGAGCTGGATGAACAC